CAAGCTGCCAGTCCTAACAGAGACCCCATGGAAGGTAAGAGTTAAAGGAGACAGAATGGGACTTAGCAAGCAGATGAGTTTATTTCACTTAATGATCAGTAAATGCCCGAGAGGGTGATCTGTTTCCCTCAAATCACAGTTCTCCTTCCGTTCAGGAAACAAATGTCTAATATTTTCTGTCTCATGACATGAAGCTCCCTCACAGTATTCAATTTTTCTGTTTTTTGGTGTCATCCATTATCCTTACTGGCCCAGCTGGGGACTTTGACTTTGGCCAACCCATGGTGCACAAATCCTCACAGCCCGGGCTCCTCGATCTTCCTCAAAATTCCCTAGCTCCTGGGGAAATGGGGGTAACGTGAGCTGACGTCAGGGATGCTCACGTTATGTGGCCCTTGGGAAGACCGCGTAGCCGCTTCCAGCCCACTGTTCTGCAGCAAGCCCTGGGTGGTTTGGCACCCCAAGGACCTTGGCAGAGGCTGGGTGGGCTGGGCCTTCCCTTCACATCTCTGTATTCATGTACCCTGTGTCTCCGTGGTCTCTTTGGGAGGCCATCAGTGACCCTCCCAAACACAAGCTAGGGCTCTGCCGCCTCAAACACCTGCGAGCGTTCCGTTCCCCAGCACCTACGATGGGAGTGAGTGCCAGGCTCTTCTCATAGGACTCCTTGCTCCAGGGTTCACTAAGCCACTTCCTGTGGCCTGAGCACTTTCCCTCTACCCTCTATTGGGACCCATAGTGAAGGAGTTAGTAATGTGGACTTGGAAGTAATAATATGGGTTCAACTCTTCCTCATTAGCTAAGACTTACTGGATTTTACTAGACTTTACAGCTGTGCTCAGCTTCTCTATCTATAAAGGGGTGGGGGTGGGGGGAGTAATTCCTCCTCCTGGACTGTAGTTGGGAGTCAGCTAGTTCACAGGCATGGTGCTTTTGGAAGGATGCGTGGCACCAAGTAAGCAATGCACGGGGTAGGTAATATCATCAATAGAGAGTTCTCCTCCTCAGTCAGGACCAGGTTAAATGGAACCTTCACACACATACCCACACACACACACACACACACACACACACACACACACACACACATAGGCCCGGAGGTGACGTCAGCTCCTCGGGGCCCATGCCGGTAGCTATCCAAACTGCTCCTCCTCTATTTTGCTGTATCGGCTTGTCTGTCTTCTACATGAAACTAGCATTTTCAGATGGACACCTACCCTAATCCATGTTACTTTCCACCTCACAGATCTCCCACGCACCTGAATGCCCCAGGCTTTCACTAAGCACCGGCTGCATGGAAACGCATCTGAGAAAAGGAGAGAAGCAGCCGGCCGGAATGCGCAGGACGGTGGGTTCCATCTGAGGAGAGGAAGTGAGAGCCCAGGCAGGGCCTCCATGCTGTCTGCCCGCGCGAGAAGCATTCTCAGCAGCCACGCACCATCCGAGAAGCAACGACCGGGAAGAGCTGCGTGTGGCTGTAACCTGGGCACGGGTGTCGGGAATCCGTGAAGCCACTGCAGCTGTAGGCAAAATGGTGCCCAGTGCTCCTTCTTTCTCCCTGGGGAGACCCGCTGGAGAGTTTTCATTGGCTGTTCAGTGGGGCTTGTGAGACCCCCAAATTCAGAACCCTTGACTTAGCTATTTAGAGACAAAGTTCTTGCCCGGAAGGCCTTACAATGGAGGAATCCCAGCTATCTTACAAGGCACAGCCCACCAGCGAGGAGGCCTGGGCGGTGGATGCTTGGTGTGCAGGAAAGCCAGGAGCAGCTCCTAAAAGCCGTCCACGCTGAGAGACCAGCAAGGACGGAGAGTACCAGGGTCCTGGCAACCTCTAAGGCCCTCTCACTCGGGGGCTGTGAAGCCACAGGTCGCCTGTGATGACACAGGAACCCCTGGCTGGGAGCACAGACACTGGCCGTTTGGCTCAGTCTGACTGCGCGAGTTGTTTTCTGTCAGGATGGCTCAAAAACATACTGTCTGATCCAGACACACAAACGAGGCAGTTCACCTAATGATGGCACAGAGCGATGTGACCCTTAAAAATCAGGGTGAGCCTGATACCAGGACAAAAGGAGACGGAGACCCATTAGTGGAGGCCCAGCCGTGGTGCAGCCGGTGGAGGTTTGCAGGGAGCCCTCGGTGGAAGCCTGTTTTATTTGCAGGAGCCACGGTGGCGAATTAAATCCCACCCTCGCCCGTCTGGACTCTCCCACTTCTCCTGGAGCTACTGCTGTGCTGGCCCATCGGCCCCTGAAACCTGCCCACACGCACAGTGAGTGCTTCTGCTCAGACGGCAAGCCCCAAACGCGTGTCGAAAAGCCCACTTCAGTACATCCTTAGCTTCCTGAGTGGGTTTTTCAGGATCATAAGGAACAGGACCTGGAAGTCCTGTCTTTTGTAAAGTAGAAAGGGAGAGTTTGGAGACTGGGGGGAGGGATGGATGGACTGGCAAAGCCACAAGGTGCTGCATGAGCCCCTCTGTTTCTCTCCATCAAGAGGGATGTAGCAACAACAGGCCCTGGCAGCCTCATCGCCAGGGCCAGATACTCCAAGCTGAGCGAGCCCGTGGTCTCCATGCACAAGGAGTGACGGGAAACGGAGCAGGGTTAGCACCTGTCCTTGCTCCCACAGCAGGGTCTGGGGAGCACCTGGCACTTAGCAGTCTGAGACGTTCTGACTCAGCAGGGGACAGCGCATCCCAGCTGAGCCCGGCCTGAGACCCTGAGCGGTGGGGAACAGCACTGGGGTGACAGGAGGCCTGGCCATCGCAGCAGCCCACGGGCACCACCACCAGAAACGTGAGCTCTGAACCATGGAGAGTCTCAGCTCAGGCCTGACCCCAGTGAGCAGCCCCGATGCACCGTGGAACAGACAGCGCCGGCCCGGGATGACGGCCTCCCTCGGCCCCTCGCTGACAGGCAATGAAAGCAAGCCCCACTTTGAAAATTCTCCCCCATCATGCAAACTGACATAGGCATGCTTTTCAAAAACCCACAGCCAATCTGTTGATCATTACTTATTTACAAAGGCCTTCGGGCAGAAAGTCCTGTAAAAACCATACTTGATACGGTATACGCTGGCTTTTTCTGCTGGTGGAAAAAAAAGTCCCCTCCAGGCTACCTCCAACCATCACTTTCTATTGCACATAAAATGTAGCGTGGAACACTAAAGTATTTAATATATATGGTATAATATATCTACAGGAAAGGCATTTGTGTAGAAGAATGTTACCCTGGATTTGGTAATTTGATGTTTTGCTGAAGGCTACGACTTAAAAAAGCTTCCACGCCGTACGGAGGACCTGTCATCTCGGCACCCAAGAGCCAGCAGAATAAAGAAGGACCCTTAAGCAGCAAAACTTTGACACAGCTTTGAAGCATATGAAAACAGTATAACTCCTCAGAATTATTATTGCTCAAGATCAAAGAAATAAGCCGTCCTTTACATAGCAAACAGGGACAGGGAATTTGGCTCCAAAGGTTTCAGATTTTTCAGACACTTCTCTTTATTTATTTATTATTTGCTTCTCTAAATTTAGGCAAAAGAAAAAGCCTGGGCTTTTCTCTACTTTCAACGGACAAAACTGTAAGCATTAGATAAGGCGATTACCTACAGGTGAGAGACTAGGAACTGAATGCTAGCAGGACATCTGGCTTCACAATGAGAAGCTTGGCGGTTGGCACATGTCATTCCTCCTCATATACGGCAAACAAGCATGTACATCAGTGAGACCCCGGCAAGGCTGAGCGGAGGGGAAGGCAGAGGACTAGTTAGGAAACATCTCACAGGAAGAGATGGTCGCAATGGGAAGGACATGGGGCCGGTGAGTCCTCCACAGGGCCTGGTGTCCTCAAGGGCGCGGAGGAGACTGCCCACCTCTGTCCCAGAAAGATGCTCGGGGAGGACCAGGAAGATGTGAATGTGGTGGATACGGGGGAAGGAGAGAAAAATCACCATCAGTGTCCAATAATCAAAGTGAGAAGAGTGATCAAGGCAAATGAAAAGAAGAAAGTAACTTAGCAATGGTGGGTGTTTCCATGACGTGACCTCTTAGGGAGAGCAGTGCCAGTATGAGACCACCCCTGCCGCTGGGAGATGCTAGGGAGGGAGGGCATTGTAGAGAATATGCACTGAGATTGGCAGATGAATTGAAGACAAAAAAGGGAAGATAAGAGATAAAGAGGCCAAGAAGAGGAACAGGCTGAAATTTGGTTTCACTTTCTATTTCCATAATCAAGATAGAAAGATAGCATATGAAAACAGTATGAAGGGAAGGGGAGGGGAGGGGAGGGGAGGGGAGGGGGGGAGGGGAGGGGAGGGGAAGGAGGAGAGGGAGGGAGAGAGGGAGAGAAGGAGAGAAGGAGAGAGAGAAGGAGAGAGAGAGAGAAAGCACACCCTGTATTTCATAATTAATACTACTTTTGGTCAGAGCAGAACAGGATTACTTTTGAACTTTGCTTTGGCAAGTCCACAGATTATTGGACTTTTTTTATCAGTCAAAATCAATTAACAGAAATTTGATTTCAGGCGACAGGATGAAAGGGGGGTAATCTTCAGGTTCCTTTTTGATTGTGAGGATACATCGCACATATGGCCCTCAGTACAGACAGCAGTCCTCAGAGGGCCCCCAGCAGAAAGACTAGCCGGAGGCGCGCTGGCCCACGCGTTCCCGGATTGGCTGCCACCGTCATTAGTGCCACTGCTGGTTAGGAGCGACACGGGGACAGGACAGGATGACAGCTCCGCCTTTAAAGCCTGTGTATTTTTCAAACAGCTTTCCCAACTGTTTTTCATGACAGGGTTTTTTCAGCTCTATCATTAACTGCTGACAAGCTGACGGAATAAATACTCCAGCCTTTGAGAAGCCATGGAAGACCCCATCCCTCCCAGACTCCTGCCAGCTGGGAAGGGTGGCACTGGGCCGGGGCTGGTGGGGAGGGGGTGATGAAGGGAGGGGAGGAGCTAGAGGGGACCCCCAGGCCTGGGGCCCCTCTCCTTACCTCATCAGCTTGGGCGAGGAGCCGGGGGAGTTCCGCATGCCTCCATTCCGCTGCTTTTTTTTGGGTGACAGCGTCGAGGGCTGCTCATCTTCAACTGGAAATACAGGCAGCTCATGAGATTATGGACAGGGTGAGTGAGGGCAGACTGCGCAACACAGGCAATATATCAAAGGACACACACGCACAGCTCAGTCACGCACTAGGAGCTCAGGGCTGCCTTTTGGACCCAGTGACAAAGACCCATGTGTTAGTCCGAGAAGCCGGCTCAGAGGAGGCGAAAGCCCCCTCTTTACACTCCAGCGTTTGAACATGCACTTCAAACAGACTACAACAGTGTGTACGCACCCTGCCCTAAAAAAAGAAAGGAAGGCGAGATTTATCCGCATACAAAATATGGTGCTATAGATGGGGACACACAATCATTACTCTCACGAGATCATTTTGGTTACTTGGCTTTGCTGGGTAATCAAATGGGTTTTCTCGTGACCAAAATCAGAAATCAAGTTGTTTGGAAATAGCAGCACCCTAGCTGCCAGCGACTTCTGCTTCTGCGAAGGCACCCACTTCCCTGGTCCCTGATCCCTGAGCCAGAGGAAGAGCCTGGGGAGAGGCTAGGATTGGAGGCCTTCGCAGCCAAAGTCTCAGTCACTCAGGACTGGGGACGTGGGCGCGTGCTGACTCAGGAATCCACAGCCCACTCAGCCCTTGTCCCTCCACCTCCCCAAAAGGGGGGCTGCACACATGGGATCCTTTCCTACTTTATCAGGACAGTTGGATGGGACTGCAAGGTTGGAGAACCAGGCAGGAGAAGAGCCCCCAAACGAAGGAGGAGGTTGCCATTGAATGATATCTCTGATGACGTGGTGAGGGGCAGGGAAGGAGGGCAGCACAGGGGGTTGGGAACCAAAGGCTGTTTCCCAAATGTCTAAGCTACACAGAGCGCTAAGCAATGTGAAGCTTCGCTCACACACAGCACAGCACGCGCTACTGCCTTTGCCCAAAGACACCCACTCACAAGCTTTGCAGAGGCATCAGCCTGCACCATGCTTCTTTTTAAGAGAGTTGCTTGATAAATTAGCAGATGCACACCCAGCCTGTCCCCGAGGGCATCAGCAGGAAAATTCTAGTCCCCCTCTCCGCACCCCCACAATTCAGGCTACAGCTGTAATGGCAAGAAGGAAAAGTAGGCTCCTCGGGTTCGCATAGTTGACTGCAACACAGAGGGGGAGGAAGCACCCCGAAACCCAGAGTGCACAGCAGTGACCTTAAGGCTAAGAAGAGAAATATTAGCAGTGACGACATCAGAAGATGCTTGACGTTTGTTAATGGTGTCCAAGTCATGGGTTGGAAAGAAACCGTCACCTCAGCTGCTTGATCTTGTCCAGAAAGACCCATCTCAGCACATGCATTCTATGGCACTTCCCTGAAGACCCTGAGTAAGTGTGGTGTGTTATGATACAGGGTTCCATAAGGGATGACAATCATCCAACTACCTTCTGAACCCGCTTCAGGGTATCGCACTTGGCACCCCACCCTCCTTCCACTGCCAGTCTAAGGTTGTCTAAATTCTGGCTGACACAGGGTAAGGGAACAAGAACGTGGTTCAAATTGAGAGCTACTCCAGAAGAAACGAAGGCAAGGAAGCACCTGTAAATCCCCACAGCCCACTCACTCTGCCACCCTCCCCATCCCCCCAGAGGCCCGTGCTCAGGCTGCGACCATATCAGTCACTTAGAGCTCCAGGCTGGAACTATGTGCCTGGGAGGATATCGCATCTTATCGGAAATGAGTATCCACAGCAAATCACACCGAGACTAAACAGCACTTAAAAGATTAAAGGAAATAAATACCAGCCACATAAATGGTATAGAAAAAATCACTTAGGGTTGATATGCATCTCTCAACGAGCAAACAGGCACTCTGAGCTTGACCTGAATTCATCTTGCTTTCACAGGACAGGGCCGGGCATCCCAGGCAATAATGGGGCAGAAAGGCAAGGAGACTGAGATTGAGAGAGAGAGAGAGTGTGTGTGTGTGTGTGTGTGTGTGTGTGCGCGCTCGCATGCGCACACTTCTGCACTTAGAATGGGGCAGAAAGTCTTACACTGACTCCACTGGTAATGCAAGGTCACCCTTTAATGTGGACCACTTACGGCGGGCCTAGGTTAGTTGAGTAGCATGCCAGACTAAATAACGTGTGTGCGTGGCTGTGGGACTCGTGGGGATGAAAGTTCTTTTCTTCGCTATCACATGAACCTTTCAAGGGTTAGAATGAAATATCCAAAAGGCTCTTGGACCTAGTCCACTCTGGCTAACTTAACTCAAAGCCGCCAGATGTTGCCATGATTTTGTCCATAGTAGTTAAGACCTGAACAGAAGCCACACTAGCTGCATTTCCGTTGGATTCTTTTGCTTAGTGCTTGTCTTCCCAGTTGCACTCGGCTCACAATAAAGAGCCCTCTTTGGTTAAGAGCTGGTTCTCCTTGCGCCTTGTTGCTGTCTGTTTACCTGCAGGGATGTTCAGATGGAAGGAAGACTTGCAAGTTGATACCTGTTAGCCAGCTCCAGGGAGACACCTCGTTCTGCTGCTAAAGCTATGCCTCCTTCTATGCAAGGAAACTTTATTTTCATTGCAAGTCAGAATGATCATCCATCATAATCAGACTGCATTTAAAGTGGGATTTGTTCTCTTCAATGCAACCCATCTTCAAAGGTTTCCTCCTGCACTCACGGCCTGGCAATGCAGATCTGCTCCCTGCAGAGATGGGGACAGGTCCCCAGCTTAAACATGAACGCTGTGCAACGGAGACTATTACCGATGGCTTAGTTCCCACAAGAGAAGCAGTGATCCCTTCTTTCTCGTAAGTAGAGTATAAACCATATTTAATTATTATCCTTGACCGCCGATTTCTGCATATTTAAAGAAAGCAAATCTAGGAAAACTTTCAGGCAAGCTATAAAATAAAATTTCCATTTCATGGCTCCTGTGACTACATGAGAGGAATAAAAATTGGATTAAAAGGGAGACTGAAATTTACATACTTTCAAGAAAGGCACATGGATTGACCTCATGCCGACACACATTCACAGGTTCCTGGTGAGCCTGCTTTGTGGCTCATTACCGGACACCTCGGTCTCCGGCTCTCACCGCTTCAAGCTGGGGAAGCCTCATGAAGATACGATCTGTTAAAGGAACCTGAGTTACCAGCTCCTTTAAAACACAAACAAGTTGAGGAATCCAAGTGGAATTTTTATAGGAGCTGAACTCCCTCCAGTCTCTGCGTCCTCATAAAAGCTGAGGGCTCGTTTCTGCACATCCCTAAGTATAACACTTAATGTGCTGCCGTAACTTCCCAGCGCCCGCCCGTCTAACAGGCACTGCATCCAACAGCTTTACAGTCGGGGAGACTCCGTGCTAGAAAAATGTCAGGCAAGTCTAATGAGGCTAGGATCCCTTGGCTGGCGCTAGACTTTAATTTAAAGTTACAACGATGTTTTAACATGTTTGCTTATACTTGACTAAAGAGGGTTCATTATTTCGATGACATAACTTCCAGACAACGTTCTGGGAATTGATTGAGGACGTGGTGGTAATCCCAACAGCCTGAGTGCAGAGTCGAACATCTGTAACGACATTTTGCTCGACTTTTCATCGTCATTCTGTTTTCAAGCAAAAAGCAAGGCAACATCTTCCAGAAACACTGGCCAGAACTCTGGGCTTAGTTCAAAATGATCATATATTTTACTAGATTTTTTTTAAAAAAAGAAATCCCTCTCTTTATTGGCCTAGCCAACTTGCAAACAGTGTATCAAGGTTCACTGATGCCTTTGTGGGCCCTTTGAGTCAAACGGGCAATGATTTCACCTTTCAGCTTTCCCACATAATCCGGGGCCCCGACACACGATGAACCCGTTGCTCAGCTCCAGCCTAGGGCACCTTCCTTCTTCCCCGTTTCCTCCACGGGGTTTAGGGGGATGCTGCCTTCTGAGACTTAAAGGTGAGTTTGTTGGCTGGAGTTAAGACATAGTTCAAAGCAAATAAACTCAGAAATGTAATAAAAGGCCAACGACCCATAAACATGAGTTGACTGGCTATCTCCACATTACATTATTAATCACCACATCTGGAGAAACCCACATCTGCACACACTTAGCAGGTCATTAGTAATGTCATATTCACACTGGAATCACTCAGAGTAAGAGGCATGCAAAGTGGCTCGAACGTAAAAGGCATCTAGCTAACAGGGCTCCCGACTGAAGTCTTGAGCGAGCTGCGAGTTGGCGGGAGGGTAGTTTTAATTATTATTTATTGGTCTTTATGGTTTTTCTCTTTGGCATTTTGCTGCCCAGCATGCTCCGTGCATGCTGAAATCCACGGTAGTGCATCTTTCTTCTTCAATTGAGCTCAGCATGCTAAGGGGAAGCAGGAGCGGTGCAGGGCAGTTACTACGCATGGGTGTGGATTCCAGGGTTCCTTCACCTGGCTTGGTCACAAGCTGAGAATTGTGGGTTGTGTTCTTGCACTCAAATGGGTCTTTGGGGTGGCGCGATCTAGCTTCCACCTTGACTGCCAAACAGTAACGAGAAAAGAAAACTGAAATTAATCCTTCGTGCAGTTCTTCATTGGAAAAGTTGAAAACCAGTTTTAACATGAACCAGAATGATAGCTTTGATTGAAAATGGAAGTTTCGTCCTCACAGCTACCTTGAGAGTTTTCTTTACTTTTACCCCAATGACGTCTGGAAATTCTTTTTGCTGTGTTATTGTCATCGGTGTCAGAAGGGATAATGTATCAGGAGATAATCTTATTTGTGCAATAATTTCCAAATCCATAGAGTTCCCCTCTGCCTTTCCACATATACAGACTTGGAAAGCTTAGTTCAGTAGTGAGATGTGACCCCTTTCTCCCGAAGCCTGGTAAAACGCAGCCCACTGAACCATCATTACATTCCGAGTCATCAGCCGCAAGGTTAGACTATGGTTTTCATCTCAAACCACTGGCTTGGCTAGCCCCTTGGTTGTAATATCGCTGCCTAACTTTCATTAAATGTTGTGGGTTTGCCAGTCCTAAGCGGGAGGGAGGGGCGCCCTTTA